GTTATAAAATTTGATCCAAGATCACCAAACAACGAACAAGAGAGGAAAACAGTTTCAAGATTTTAAGTGAAAGTCTTCAAAATTGTCTCCCTGCCAGTTCATTTTTTTGTTCCATGACATCAAGTCAAACTGTGTAGAGGAGTCAGACCCTGAAGAGACAAACGAGGCACCAGAGTCTGTGCCTTTTACAGACAGTTACGATATTGCTACTGAGCGCTTTAAATCTATGGTTGATTCCTATGTTTCCAGCTTAACAATCACTCAAGAAGAGATAGATGAAACGGAGAGAACAACTCAAGAACAAAACAAAAACAATCTTTGGTTTGAAATGAGGAAATCTCTTTTGACAGCTTCAAACTTTGGAAAAGCAGCTAAGAACAAAGTGGAATCTTCAAATAAGTTGAAATCAATCCTCTACTCGAATTTTACTACAGATGCTACTTAATATGGCTTCGAAAGTGAAGGAAAGGCAGTGACCCTTTACATGAGGGAAATGGAAAAGAATGGCATTGATGTTACTGTTGAGGAAATTGGGCTACTGGTGTCCAAGGACAAGCCATACCTGGGGGCAAGCATAGACAGGGTTGTAGCCATTAAGGATACTCACGAAAAATGGGGGATGGAAATTAAATCTCCTTTAAGCAAAGCAGGCATGACTATCGAAGAAGCCCGAAGGTTAAAACGAAATCATGATTATTATGTACAAACTCAAGGGCAGCTCTACTGTTCTAACTTGGATCTTAAAGGGATCATTCTTGTAGTATACTTTGGAGAGAGTAGACCACTATTTGTGGAGAAAATTTACTTGGACAACTCTTGGATCAGTGACTCCCTGCCAAAGATAGATTTCTTTTACAGACGTGCTCTTTTCCCTGAGCTCATCACCAGACGAGTGCAGCGGGGTAAGATTCTATACCTGCATGGAGGTTGGTTGCCATATGGCCAATATTGCTGCAGAAGCACTGGTTTGAAAATGCGATTTCAAAGGCAATTGTAAACAATTATTCTGTAGTAAATTTACATCATATATAACTACAACCATTACTTTTCCTTTCATGTAACAGTGCTAAAACTGTACCCATAAGAACCTTGATGACACAAGCAAATCACCTTACAGGATGAATTTGCACTTCTATTGAGTGAAGTTTGAACTGACAATACTTGAATTGTCGCCTAGGTGTTACATTATTTACAGTCAACAACTTTATAAAACTAAGACTTATTTTGTCATGGGTATATTGGATGTGTTGGGAGAGTAACAATACACTTTTCCACTTAAAATAACAGAACCCCAAAGGTAAGCAACAGTAGCTAAGAGCCACTCAGGAGAGAGACCAAACCACAAAACGTAACTTCAAGGAACCACACTGTCAATTTAATTATCTTGTTTCTTGAAATTTGTGTTTGTTGCTTTATCTCCCATCTGATTGTCTAAGGGTTGCAAAATCAGTGATAAACATACCAGAAATCATTTTAGGTGTGTAAACAAAATAAAGTTACTGGTAATAAAAAAAGAATTTAGGGTTTTGGTTTTGCAGGGGGCAGCAATGGAGGAAGAAAATTTGTCAATAGTCCACATACTGTGGCTATTTGTGTTGCGTAAGTGCTTAAAGTGTTGGGTAAGTTCCCATCCAAAATATGGTAAGTCTTGATCCTACCAATTGCCCTCTCCACGTGTATTCGCACAGAGGCGATGGTCATAGTTTCCTCTGTCTCTGATGCAGTCAGTTGATCTCGTCCGGCTAAAAAAAGGGGGCATATTAACCGTGACACCATCAGGTATAATGTCCTTTATGTCGAAGCCACGGTCAACCATAACATTGTCACCACTATTCAATAAATCTAGCACTCCACTTTCTCTGGTTATCTGTTTGTCCGACACCCGCCCACCCCAGAGGTCCGAAAGAAAGGTGACTTGCCCATTTGGAGTGATTCCCACAAGTTGCTTCCAAGTATTGTGGTGCTTTTAGTCTGACCAAGTTTCAGACTGCGCAAGCATGGCAAAGGGATGCTGAGTGAATATCTCTGTGCAGTCCAATATTATTCTAGTTGTTGCAAACTCGGCAAACTCATCTGGCATGTTTTTGCATACCAACTCTTGTGATGGAAAAGGGAAAAGGTCTTTGAGTTCCAAGTACAACAAATTGATCCAGGTTATACATATTCTGGACACAAGGCTTGTACTAACACCAAACCTGTCTGTAAGGTCCTGCACGAATAATCCAGCCTTCAGTCGCATCAATACTAAAAGAAATTCATCAAGAAATGTTAATTTCCTGGAAGGTCCAGGCTTATTTCCATTTTCATCCGCTTGATAAGGCTGGCTCTCTCTCACTAAGTGTTCTCCTTTCCAGTACTGCATTTTCCCCAATTTTGGCTCAAGATACTTGAAAAAACTTATCAGTGCTTCATAGCAAGGAAACCCAGTGTAAAATAGGATTGCTGAATTATCATCCTTTATTTTGTCTGAGGAAAATTGGCGCCCTATCAAAATCTCATTCTCTTTTTCCATCTCTGCCAACTTTTCTTCTCGATCAGCTAACTTTAGTTCCAGTAATGTAAAATGTCTCTGTAGTTGTTCAACAACATTGCCTTTAGAGGTTTCAGCTCGATCCAGATCATTAGCTAATGAATTTGAACATTGACTGCTGCTGACTGCGGTGGAAACTATTTCAGGTGGCACTGATATGATTATTGCGTCTTCAGTGACTTCCGAGGAGTCTGCAACATCCATTTCCTGAGCTAAAACTACTTTAGTCTGGGTTCGCGTTGGAGGAGCTTTTCGAGATTTTTTTGGCACGCTCCATGAAAACTGAGATGGCTCAGCACCTTAAAACAAAATGCAATAAAAATCAAAATAATTACATGACCATAATAAATGAACATGTTGTGGTGTTAATGGTCATTTCGATACAGTTATGAAAAATACTTAACTGTAATGTCAGTTTAAATGTTTTTGATCTCAGTACATCTATATGGCACTAGGGAATTTGGTACAATTAATGATGCACAACAGTAATCCAATGCTATTGAAATGTTGTATTGGGGTAACTATATTTCCTTTGATGTGAAAAGCCAACCTTCAGTCAAAAGCTATACAGTGTTACAATTTTAAAGCTTAATGTACAAAGGAACAAAAACTTAGCTGATAATGCAGCTTTAATGAAATATTTACTATATATGACTTTTTTATATCTGTTTTTGCATGTCACATACCTTTCTTTAAGTACCTGCGGGTCAATTTTCTTATAATATCTTCTTGTCTAAAATGTTCACTGCAAACAACAGTTGCAGCAGTTACATTGAAGTCATCCTTTCAATGTTGCCGCTTTATAAGGTTACACCAGCAATTTCTTGTCGTGGGGTCGGTTGGAAAACTGAAAAAGTGGTAACCGGCGAAGAACCCCTTGTCATTGTAATAGCTGTTGTGACAGCCGTAAACGGCACACTGTTTCCCTCTTTTCTTCAAAATCGACGGAGGAGTATCTTGGTGGGTATTATTGCTGTTCATTATCGAAAAGTATGGCAAAAAAAAGCAGGACAAAACCGGAGAAAAAGCAAAGATGGGTGTAGATTCTCTGTTAAACACACCAGATATGAAATGCGACTCAATGTTAGCCTCAACATGATGTTTGCGCGGTTACTATTCCAAGATGGCGCCGGGAACTGTAAAAAGAAATATTATTCACCATCCAAAATATTTGAATTGTGTCATGCAAAAAGAGAATTCATTAGATAGAATCAATCAGCATGGACTTTTCAAGGGGAGGTTACAGTTCTATTCATCAACCCTCACTATTTCCATCTCACAACCATCTTTTTAACTTTATATCAGAGAAAGAGTAGACGTTTGTGCTTAAGGATGACGACTGATTGCTGTAGAAACTAATCTCTTCCTCTGCCAGCCACCTGTCTTGGAACCTGTGATGCAAGGCTCTGTTGCTTTTCCAAACATGGAAATCACCTAGCATTGGGATAGCTGACTCAAATTCCTCCCTAGTGGAAGGATGTGCTGTTCTTTGCAGTAAGGCAAGCAGTTCTTCATCATGTGCCACAACACAATTAGCCATTTTACATGCCCATTGTTCCCAGGCTTGTTCCCAATGGAAGTCGCAAGGCAGTACATTGCATTCTAGAATATATTGAAAAAGTGTCTTTAAATATGAATCCATCCATCTCACAGACAAATACAGATGGCCATTCTTGCTAAAGAACGAGGAGAACATAAAACAAGAATGTGGTCCGATGAACTAGTACCAGGCCCTTATTGGGCATATGAGACTTAGTGTCCATTCTTTATTGTGTAATTTTGTTCTTCCCTAGTCTTCAATAGGTAGGTTTTCTAGTCTGTGGCCAAAAAAGGGAATTACTCATTTTTGGAAATCTCAGGCTGTTATTTTCAGAGACATACCATCTATGGGGGCCCATCCTGGTCAACAACTTCGTCTGGGCGTTGGCGAGCATTCATCTAGCTGTCTTAGGGTAGCTTTGTTAGCAGCCTCCTGTAATATTGCTTGCAAGAAAGGATGGATCTCAGCGAACTGCAGCATAATCTGGTTTGCTACCTCCCACCAGCTCCACCACCTCATTGGGGCATAGGATTTATTTGAGATGCCCATACGCTCTTTCCACGCGATTCAAGTTGCGGGACTATGGCCAAACAGGGCATTCCAGAGCTGTAAGAAGCGCCTGAGTGTGGGGATGTTCAAATGACTGTCTATGCCGTCAATTGCATGGGAAAAACAACGGACATCCACCACCTTTGGGAAGACTACCTTCACAGTTCTCATGGCAGCTCCGTTAACCGAGGCTCCATCCCTCATTGCTGCACAGAGACTGCTGTTTTGCACATTGTATTGTTGTGCAAGAACCGTGATGATTTCGCGAGCCAAATCGTCTCCTTTTAGAGATTTCACTATCAGCTGTAAGCGCAGCAGACGTTGCTTTATTTCCCAGTCAGCTGTTATAAATCTAACAACTATTGCAAGCGCTTCACCAAGTCATGTGGTTCCATCATATATGACAGAAACGTTATGGCCTGATATCTCTCCCTTGATCATTTCCTCTTCTTCCTTAGTAGTTTCATGGTCAACAATCCCATCAGGGGAAGCACCAAGAATACCAGAGGAATGAAACCAGATTCCAGTTTCTTTAACTGTTTTCCCTGTCTTCAAGGTGAAGGCCTTGATAGCTTCCTCTTCATTGTTAACTCCCCATTGTACTGCTTTCACTCTTGAGAGGTCATATTCTCCAAGAAGGCGTTTCAGAAGTGAGGGAGTAACTCGTTTGGCTTTCAGAACATTACCAAAGTTGCTGGCAGTAAGACGGCCCCTCCTTGCCAAATGCCAGGCAGGATTGTCACGCTGGCCAACAGTGACCCTACTGATTTTCAATATATCTTCTTCAAGTATTCTGGATCGTCAAACTAAACAGTCCAGTTGTTAAAGCCCTCTGGTTTGGAGAAACTCTTCTGAAAATATTATATCCTCTATTGTTGGAATTGATAGTTCGTTAAAAGCAGGTGGCTCTGAGCTGAGCAGCCAGCAAAGGCCTGTAAACCTTCCATATTGTTTAAGGTCTTCATACAGCTGTGCTCTGTCAACCTGTACTGGCTTTCTTCCCAAGGCAGTGTACTTCTTAGGTGGAGGGAACATTTCTGCCACAGCTTGAGCTGAGAGCGATGTGTTCGATTTCGTTTTCCTCCACTGACACTCAACGTCAGTTCTGCTTAGATTATGGATGCCGTGTATAAAGAGTGCAGCTGCATGGCTACACTTAAATGCTCCTCTTGGGCATTCACAGTCAGACGACTTAATTTCGTGTTGCTCATCCAAGTAAATCTAGGAAAAGAAAACAACGAAAGAACATCACACCAACGAATTGGATTCAGGTGGTCCCAAATGATAACAACTATCTGCTGCGTCAAATAGAACATTTCTGCCACAGCTTGAGCTGAGAGCGATGTGTTCGATTTCGTTTTCCTCCACTGACACTCAACGTCAGTTCTGCTTAGATTATGGATGCCGTGTATAAAGAGTGCAGCTGCATGGCTACACTTAAATGCTCCTCTTGGGCATTCACAGTCAGACGACTTAATTTCGTGTTGCTCATCCAAGTAAATCTAGGAAAAGAAAACAACGAAAGAACATCACACCAACGAATTGGATTCAGGTGGTCCCAAATGATAACAACTATCTGCTGCGTCAAAACCACGCTATGAAGTAAACAAATCACTACACAAATTTTTGTTCGGTAGCCATTACGTTTGAAAATATGGTAAGTAGGAATTTGGCGGCTAAGATCGCCTTTACCATCTCTAATCGTGCAAAGAAGCAAAAGAACCAAACAAATCTACCTAAAACAGAACTGTAAATCGGACTAAATCTTGAGCTCTGTTGAGTGCTTTTAATAGAAGATGTTAGCTAAGTTTGAGTTAACTCACCGTGACTTTATAGACCTTCTTTTTCATGCTTGCATGCACTTCCCCGCGTAAAACACCTTGTTGATACAAAAGTGACTCCACATGATCTGATTTGTAGTGGTTTTCTCCTTTTCTAATAGACTTCTTTTCTTCCGAGAAGAAAGAAATCAGTGAAGCGATCGACAGCGACGCCAT